CACTGCTGCACTGGCGATGGAACAGCGTCATGGATTTCCTGTTGCTTGGCCAACTTGGCTGTGGGAATTGGGAATCAGGGACTCAGGGGCCCAGGGGCGACCAGGGATCTAGGGACCTCGGATGAAGTTCAAGTTCAGATGGAATTCAAGATGGTCGGGGACGGTCGGGGTCTGGCTACTACTATCCCTTTTGCTGTTTCCAGATTTCCAGGATTCCAGACCCGATTCGACGCTGGAAACGGTGGGCTGGGCTGGAAGCGCTTGGCATTTGGGGGCGAACGGACGCCATGCCAAGGCAGTACCTTCTGCCGGTTGCGCACATTCTCCGACGCCATTGGGACCCAAGGCGCTTCATGAACCCGCACCTTGGCAATGGCAATAGTGTTTGCGGCGCTTGTCTCTTGATTCACTTTGGTTGCGTAGGTGGAACTGGAAATTCGATCTTCGAACGGTTGAACTCGGAAATGTCATCTGCAAAACTGCAAACCGATAGCTTTTAACCGGAAAAACAATTGACACACACACACACAGTTGTCACACACAGCACAACAGATTGTCATATCTCATGTCTCACCAGCATCAGCATCATAATGAAGCATTTGGCGACGGCGAAAGTGACCAAGTTAAATATCAAACTCAGGGTTTGGACTGACAGGCTCAGGGCTCAGGGTCCCAGGAACAACTCAGATTTCATACTGTTGATTCAATACCCATTTCATTTTCATTTCCTGGCCTGAGATACGAGTGGCAGTGTAAGGATTTGTGGCTTCAGTCAACTTCAGTCAAGTCGACTTCAGTCTTCAGTCACTTCAGTCACTTCAGTCAGTTGGTTCCGGACACGGGGTTATGGCTTGTGGCCCCGCAGTGGCCCCCGCCCAATCCCGACCACTGTCTGGCCCGACTCCATCTGAGTTTCAGCGTGGCCCCAGCTGCTGATGCTGCTGCTGCTGCTGGCGACAGCGGCGGTGCCGATCCCGGTCAGCCGCATGGCTGCAATAGCTTGCGGCTGGGGTGCGGGGGTAGAAGCACGAACCGTCAACGGTTTCAGGTTTGGGCGCGGTAGGTACGCCCCGGCACGGCGGAAACACATAAAACCAGTTCGATTGGACAGTTTTGACAGTTTGAAGTTTGAAAGAATCCAATGATTTTTTCACTTTGGATATCCCTGTGAGAAGACAGGGCCAACTCAAAATCACACCACAATGACACCAATCATGGTAATAGATGGTGTGCAGTGGGGCGGGGCGGGGCGTTGGCCCTTTAAATGAATGTTAAATTTTGCAATTTGGCTACATGTGATTGATAGTCACGTCAAATCACGCTCAGTCGCGCCACAATGTGGCATCCGACAGAACAATGAAAGTCCAAAGGCATTTTCGCCAGGAAGTTAAACATCATGGCCCGCATTCAATTTAATTCCCAATCAATCGGCCGGGAAATTTAACATGATTGAAAGAGGGTTGGAGGGATGTAAACAAACTACTTCTTTTCTTTCGATGTTTAATCAGGCGAGTTGAGGTGTTCGGGGATTAATGATTGATGGAAGGCTTCCATGAAGGAAGGGGGTGTGGTTGGTTTAAGCCAAGCCCCAAAATCAATCAAACCTCTTGCTTTTCATACCTTTCCTGGACTCAACAACCGTTCAACCTTCAACCAATGCGTGTTTTTGGCCCCTCCCCGGACTCGAGCATGGATTATCATGGATTGGCAGGCATGGGCTGACTGGGGGCATCATGAATGAAAACTCAGTGTTTGCTAGGCTTGGCTCAAGGGCATGCATGATGATCGGCATGCATGATGACACGACATGACTACATGATGTTACATGCTGCATGAGTGCTGCATGAGCTTCAAAATTGCAGTCATTTACTTCTTGGAGTGTTTCAGTTCTTCCTTCATTCAGCCCATTTTGGCCAGCGATTCGGCGGTGCGAGCCATGGATCGGTCAACAGGGTGCAGCAGGGGCAGGAGCCTTTCGGTCTCGCGGTCGTGTGGCATCAGCCGTTAGTCAGTTGTCGCGCTCGAACAAAGCAAGTATTTTGGCCTTTATGTATTTTTGCTTAATTTTTCATACATCATAGTATGACATCAATCATACAACACCCCACTTCCCACCTGCCCACCCACAGCGTGACAGGAGGGTGATAGCAGCGGCGCGGCTGCAGCTGGTGATGGCCATGCTGCAGGAGATCGGCGGGCTTCTGGGGGATGTGGTGAAGGCTCTGGGCGTGGAGCCGGCGGCGGAGCCGGCGCAGGAGTCGGAGTGCAGCTTTGGTTGCACGGTTTGTTTTTTCAAGGGTGGTGTGGTGACTCGTGACGGTGACGCGGTGTACCGGGTTACCGGTTTTCACGGTTTTCAAAACTATATTTGTGTTACACTGTGTTTCTTTGTTTAAAATTTATTAAACACAGTAACACAGTCACATTCCCCGACCAAAAAGCGACATTTGCCGATCACGAATCACGCTCTGGCAAGATTTTGAAGCAGCACTTTTGATGGAAAAGGAGCGAACGACACAACATATTGCTTTTTCAGCAACAGGCAGCAAAAATGCAAGTTTTGAGTCCTGGAGTCTGGAGTCTAGGTATATAGGGTCATAGGACAGTTCAAGAACTGCACTGCGCCCTGACTCTGTATGACCGAGCCGAGGCATGTCGGCGAGCTCCGAGGCTGGTGGGGAGGAGGATCACGACTACACCCCGACGGAGCTTGCGGAGGCCGGGCCGAAGGAGGTTGGTCGGTCCGAGTCTGGGTAACACAAATAAAATACATATTTTGTAAGTAAATGACAAATACATACCCGGACCTTCCGACTCGCGACTGTAAAATTAACGCCGTTTGTTTAAGTTTCCAATAATTTTCGCCGGCTGCTCAAACACTGAAAACTGCCGGCAGGCGAAATAATCGCCGTTTGGTCCGTTCGGTCAAAACATAGTTTTTGACAAAACATCAATAATTTTGCACATGTTGGAATCTGGAAGACGCGGGTATTCGTCAGAGTCAGATGTAGGGTTTTCTCCACCTCAGAATTTCTCTCAGAATCCTCAGAAATGTGGCCGTCAAAAACATAGTCGATCTGCATATTGTTTCATTCTGATTCTGATTTGTCGATTTGTCATTTGTATTTGTTGAGTTGTGCTGAGTTGTGCTCTTAATTGCCAAAGTCTTCAATTTAGAATCACATTTAGAGCACCTTTCTCATCACAATCATTGTTCCACCTGCCACTGCCACAGGAGGATGCTGCAGCCTCGGCCTCAGCCGCAAGAGTGGCTGTGGATTGCGATGGCTGCGGCGACGGTGCCGCATCCGCGCACGCTCACGCAACAGCAACATGCGGCAGCGGAAGCGGCAGCGCCCAGGCCAGGGCTGAGGCCCAAGTCACCCAAGCCCAGCAGAAGGCAAAACATGCCGCGAACAAGCAGCCCGCAGCAGCAGCAGAGCAGCCCCAGGATGAGCAGCCCACCCAGGTCACCCAGGCACCAGGTCCAGAAGAAGATCCAAGCGCAGAAGAAGGCAAAGCCCAACAAGCCTGCTCAGGCTGCCCCGGCCGCCCCGGCCGTCCTCAAGCCAAAAGCCCCATTTCTGGCAGAGGAGGAGCAGCCGGAGCCCACCCAGGCCCAGAAGAAAGCCGCAGCAACAGCAGCAACAGCAGCACAGCCCAATAAGCCTGCTCAGGCTGCCCCGGCCGCCCCGGCCGTCCCAGCAAAGGTTGATGAGCAGCTGGCGCCCACCCAGAAGAAGAAAGCAGAGCCCAAGAAGCCTGCTCAGGCTGCCCCAGCCGCCCCGGCCGTCCCAGCAGAGGTTGATGAGCAGCTGGAGCCCACCCAGAAGAAGAAAGCAGCAGCTGCAGCAGAGCCCAAGAAGCCTGCTCAGGCTGCCCCGGCCACCCCGGCCGCCCCGGCCGTCCCAGCAGAGGTTGATGAGCAGCCGGAGCCCACCCAGAAGAAGAAAACAGCAGCAGAGCCCAAGAAGCCTGCCCCGGCCGCCCCGGCCGTCCCAGCAGAGGAGCCCACCCAGAAGAAAGCAGCAGCAGAGCCCAAGAAGCCTGCCCCGGCCACCCCGGCCGCCCCGGCCGTCCCAGCAGAGGAGCCCACCCAGAAGAAAGCAGCAGCAGCAGAGCCCAAGAAGCCTGCCCCGGCCACCCCGGCCGCCCCGGCTGTCCCAGTTGATGAGCAGCCGGAGTCGGAGCCCACCCAGAACCAGAAGAAGAAAGCACCAGCAGTGGCAGAGCCCAATAAGCCTGCTCAGGCTGCCGCCGCCCCGGCCGTCCACAAGGCAAAAGCAGAGGTTGAGCAGCCGGAGCCCACCCAGAAGAAGAAAGCCGCAGAGCCCAAGAAGCAGCATGCCCAGGCAAAAGCCGCAGCATCAGCAAAGGCAGAGGCTCCGGCTCAGGATCAAGAGCCCAACGCCAAAGTTGATGAGCAGCCCACCCAGGTCACCCAGGCCGCGGCCCAGGCCCAGAAGAAGCCCCAGCATGCCCAGGCAAAAGCCGTAGCATCAGCAGCAGCAGCAGCAGAGGCCAAAGTTGATGAGCCGCCCACCCAGGTCACCCAGGCCGAGACGGCCAAGCCCGCCAAGAAAGCAGCAGAGGAGCTGGTGCAGCGGCCCGCAAAGAAGGCCAGGCCCTGCACCAGGCCCCAGTCCCCCCCGTTTCCCCCGTTCCCGCCAAAGGCACGCCCCGTGCCTGTGCCCCCTCGCAAGGGGTTCCCGGCCGCCACGGTCACCGTGGTGGCCACGGCAAGCGCCTTCTGCAAAGGCAAAGGCGGAGGCGGAGGCGGCGGAGGCGGCGGAGGCGGACGCAAACCGCCCTCGGAGGCCTTTGCGCAAGCGCAAGCGGCAAAGCTTGCGCGCATCGCGGCGAGGGCCAAGGCGAAGGCTCCAGCCCAATCAATTTTGCATTTTTTGATTTTCTTTTGGGGTCTGGTCCGGTCCGGTCCTGTTGATTTGTTTTAACATATACCGTATTTCCGTTTTACTTGTGTTTGTGCGGCAATGGAGGCTGGGGCGATGGTCGAGGACGCGGACCCGGATGAGTGGGAGTCGGTCGAGCTGGAGGAGTCGAACGGCGACGTCGTGCTGATGGAGCCCATGGATGAGGGCATCAGCATCGATCAGGCTTCAAACCTGGCAGAAGCCCTTCGAAGCTTGGCCGACACACTCATACCACTCTGGTCGACATTGGTTCATAAACAAAAACAAACATAATTTCTTTCTCGAGACTCTCAACTTCCTGAACTCTCTCAATTCTCAACTGAACTCTCAACATTAAATTCTCGCCCCGATGGATGAAGCTTCAAGCCTCTTAAAGCTGTAAAGCTCACCAAATTTCTTTTTGAATATATAGCATGAGTGAGTCAGTGAGTATGTTGTTTCAGTGATTCGCACATCACGCACGCCTAGGGTATGCCCCGACAAGCCCTGGGAACATGATACTAATTCGACTAACTGATGAAAAGCTTTCACCCTGACTGCCTGCCGCCATTGTTTCAACCTGAGGGATGGTGGTGGACGAGCGCGCGACGGTCGAGGAGCTGAGGGAGCACATAGGTCGGCTTCGTGATGGCGAAGCGCCAGATGCGCAGTAGATAGCGGTCCGGTTTGGGCTTTTGAGCAATCAGCCACTCAGCACTTCAGTACCAAAAGATTGCTACAAACAAAATATAGGGGGCGATGAGTGAGAGGCTAAACCCTTTGGTGCGCCCCAAAAAGACATTAAGTTTCAATCGTTCAGGATCGGATCGGAACGATATAATTGATATAATGATACCCCAAACCGATTAGGACCGGACCGATTACCTCCCATTCAAATTCAAAGTCAAAGTGAGCTTCTTAGGTTTGCCTCTCGCTCAGAATCCACAAAAGCCCATCGTAGATAGAGAGCCGGGCCGCAACCGCAGCCGCAAAATCGCTGGCACTTCAAGCCAGCCATGATTTTCCATGGCCCACATTAGATTAGGCCCCGGAATCGCTACGACTGGGCCTCTTGACCCTGGCCTCTGGCCTGTGCAATGCAAGATCAATTCAAGTGTTCAATGGAAGTTCAATCCCTAAGTCCCTTAGGGTCATGACTTTAATGCACGCAATGGAGCACCCCAGCCCCTCAGGCACCTTTGAAAACTTGAAGGCTTGGAGCTTGGAGTTGGAGTCGGCCCAAAAACAAATCGGGACCCTTAGGGACCCTGGGGATGGATCGGATGGAGGCTTTCGAGGCGAGGGCAAAGCGGCGAGCCAGCCACGGCGTTCACGGCCATGCATGGCCACCAGCGAGTAGTCGCGTGCAAAAAGTGGCTGCCTGTGAGTTCGTTGGGATTTGAGGGCGCTTTGGAATCACTGCATGGAGACTGGTGACTCGTGTGGGACTGGGACTTGAGAACATTATTCTGATGGGTGATGGGTGATGACAGATATCATGTTTGTTTGAGGCTTTGAGGGCGGGCATTTGTCGGTAGATTGGCATAAACCTGCTACACAAAACAAAACACACCAAAACTACGGTTACCACTGTTGCCCCTCCACTCGGCTATGAAGGGTTCATCACGGTTCATCCGAGTTCATCAGTTCATCCCCAAGTCCTTTGTACACGGGGGCTGTTCGGCTTTTCTGACACGACACCAACCATCGAATCGGGAATTGACAAACGTTTTTTTTCCATTCTTCAATCCAGCTTCAGCTTCATGAATTCCGGCGCTGCGTCTCCCAGGCCGAACGTGGGCGGCGCGCACGTGGACGATCAGATCGAGCTGAAGCGGTCAGAGGCCATCATCCGCGGCATCACAGAGGCCGTGACCTCTGATTTGAGCCTTGGCAGGCATTCCGTGCTGCCAGCTTGTCAGATAAACCCCCTTTTCAATTTTCAAGTTTTCAACTTTTAGGGAAAATCGAAATACATAGAATCATAGACGGCGCGGGACTATACTGTAGCTTGTTCGAAGTTCAAAACCTACTCCAATGACTCACCCCACGATTAAATGATTAGCGGATAACAATACGCGGATTCTGCGCCTTGCTTGCGGATTGCCCGGTAGAGCCGGTAGAGCGGCGGTGAGAAGCAGGCCACCATAGGTCACCGGTCACTGACACCAGGGCAGAAACCGGGCTAGCCCTGCTGCAACTCAGGGACTGGCAGTACGCCCGAGTTGTCCTTGCAGTAGGCGCCTTGGCCTACTCCATTGATCATCGCTTCGGCTCGCAACCTTGTTTGAAATGTGCCAAGCTTTGTTGGATGTGTTTGGGCTTGGGCTTGGTGCTTGCCCTGGAACTGGCTTGTTGCCCGGCACTAATGTGAGAATGCGAAACCTAGCTCTGCCGAGTCGCCCTATTCTTGGGATTCTTGTGCGAGCATTGACAGGCATCAGGTAAGGTCCGCAAGGTTCAAGGTTGTAGGGAATTTTGATGTTTGGGACCATGAGCCAGGATTCCAGGAACCAGGGCCAGGATTAGGATTGCCTGTGTTCTTGAAAACCAAGCATGATTGAGGAAGTCATTGTCACAATGAAGGACCCACATGCCCGTATGAGGTCACATATTCTCCTTCATTTCAAGCTGGGTTGGCGGCTGCGCGTGTCATGAGCAAGACGTCCACCGCTCCTACGCCAAATTGAGCCTTGGATTGTGCTGATTGGGTCGACGGTCGGGTCGGGCTTGGCGCGCGGTGCTCTCACTCCCGTTGTTGAATAAGTTGAATGTCGATTGTTCAAGCCCGGCTGGTCAGTCTCAACTTCAGCCAGTTGTGTCTTTGTGCTAACTATATTCGATTGAGCTTTGCGGCCATGAGGCGCGGCAGTCCGGATGGTTGTGCTTTGCGCCTTGGCTTTTCAAATGGCCCCGCCTCGCTGAGGGGTTGGCTTCATTGCTTGCATCCGACAGAAAGTTCCCATCTTCGGGTCCCATCCCATTGGCATGACCCCATGACCCCCCATGACCCATGCCCACGAATACCAGGTCGCAGACCTGTGTTCTGCGGGGCAGACGTGCCCCGGAGCTTGCTTCCGGTGACCAGATGAGAAAACTGCGCGAGTGGACCTCGATTTCCTCATCAGATCTTCTGATGGCTGACGGAGGCCTCAGCCTCAACCAGTGCCAAAGAAAGACGCTCTGGGACTGCTACGAGATTGGCTACACGCGGGCGTGCTTCGATCTGGAGATCAAATTTGCTCATTGGGGCCAGTTGCCATGGAAACTCACCGGGTTGCTCGGCTGAGAGATCAGCTTGATTCCAATGATGTTACCGTTACCAAACAACAATTCAGGGGTCGAGGCCACCCTTCGGTCTTGGTACATCGGATCGGCGTCTTAGGGATGAGTAGCATGTCACATCCGATGCTCATTCAAGTAGGCTTCGGATGAGCATGGTCCAAGTTCCAAGAGTCCAAAGTGAGCCCAAAGCAAATTTTGTCTCATGTCAACTTGACAATGTCAACTGTCACCGTCAATGTCTCTTGAATGCATGTATACAAACACGCAAACGCTCATCCAAGCAAGTTTGGAGTCGATTTAAAGAAAATCTGGGTTGGCGGCTGCGGCTGGTGGCTTCACTATGAGGGTCATGGAGAAACCAGTGACTACTGTGCCACTGTGCACCCGTGTTGGATGCCAGGTTGGCCCACTGGCAGCCTGCTGCTGCCTCACAGTGCGCTCGTCCGCAACTGAGTCTGGAAATTCCTTTGCCCACCCAATGCCCCATCCCTGCCGCCTAGCTCAAAACCACGTCGCCCAGGTGACGCGTTGCGGCTGTGGCAACAAGAGCCAGCAACTCGACGTGTCGCCATTCGTGACGTCATGTTTGTCGAACGGCATTTGGCTTATGTGCATGAGTTTTGTGTGTGGCCATGTGGCCCTGTGAGTTAGTGTGTGACATCGTGTGACATATGGCAGACTCCTGGCAGATGACAGTTTTTCAGCCTCAGATTCAGATTCATCAAATACACTGATCCACTGATCCACATCCACAGTGTGGCAAGGCTAGCTTTTGCAATTGTAATCAAAAATCATTGTCTCTCATATCAATTGAATTACTTGCATCAGTTCAACCGTTCAATACGTGTATGTCGGTTGTTTAGTTCGTTCTGCTGAGTCACTGAGTGTCCGTTTTACTGCTCTTGCATGGCTATTAATGGCGTACTTCTTTCCAGCGCTTGCTTCATGCTTCCGTGCTGCTGAGGTTCCTGGTGACCGGGATCACCCACTCAACTTGCTGTTTCTGCAGCACCGGGACACCATGTCATCAGGAAAAAAATCATTCCGTCCACTTGTTGAAGCTCTTGCCCGAGGGCATTGCTGTGATGACCTGGATGCTTTGGACATCGTGCCGTCAGACGACCTGCAAGAGACGCTTGGGCTTTGGCTGTCACAATGAAGCACATTTCTGCGAATTGGAGTGACGTACACACTTGAAGACTTCCTTGTGTACAATTTTGGCCTGACCACTGACCACTGGTCTCATGCCATGTCGCATGCAAGCCACACATCGTTGATTGTTGCATCAGATGGGCGGGTAGTGGCTGGTGGCTGACAGAGCGTTGTTGACAAAGTCGGCTGCCGAGTCAAGTTAAGCCGAGGTTTTTTTCCTTCCTGCACGGGTTTCGGATGATTCAGTGCAGCCACTTGCCGTTTACAGGACACATTGTCGCCACTCTGATTCTGATCACGCGTCTCCGTGACGGTCTTCGTGATGTTTTTTGCATCCAGTCCAGTTGCTGCAAACTCAATCAGGGTTAATTCGGTTGTTGGCCAGCCAAAACGCCAAGCCACGCAGAAATTCTAGGCACGGTTACATGCTTAGCAGCAGTTGCAGTTAGACGGTCTGTGTAATTAAGTGTCATTGAGGACAAATTGAGGAATTGAGGCTGCTACGGCTATGTGAAGCCAATTATGTTTTCGGTAATGGTAAGTCTCTTAAGTATGCAACTTGTGCAACAAGTAACAATAGCTGCATGGCTGCTCGGCCCTCACTCTCAAGCCGCCTAGCCTAGGCGAACAGCATATTGAAGGCGATCACTCTCGTGTCAAAGAGGTGGCGAAAAAGCACTTCTCCACAGCGTTGATCAGCACCAACCTTCGGATTCGGTACCTGGAGAATTGCCTCGCCACAAGTCCCCAGGCAGGCGGCATGATTGTCAATACTGACACTCCTTCAACAGTGCACGTGACATACTTTGACCTGATAGCACTTAGGAGGTTGATGTGGCTGTCGCAGCTGTGGGTCTTTGAGTTCGGGTCCGGGTCCGGTCCGGGTTGTGAGTTTTTGGGAAAGTTCCACGATCCATGATCCATGCGGTCCATGCCCATGCGTGCTAATATCATGACGAGAGACTCAGTGCCTGCCATCCCGTCCGCAAGGAGACCTTGCAGACCATCGATGAGTTGTCCTACTTGGTGTCGACCAACAAGTGTGACCAGCAAATATGTGAACTCGTAGCAGGGCGCCTCGGCCAACTGGTTTGTGCGTGGGTCCCCGTGGGTCGCTCACATTACTCGATGAGTCAAAGTCATGATGTTGGAAGTCAGAAAGCGCGGTTGGCGATCAGTGATCAATTTCAATGAATAACTAAAATTGAATTGAAGTTACTGAATTATCAGACT